GAGGGGCCCGAGTGTTGCCGGGGCCCGAGTGTTGCCGGGGCGGCGGCGGGCGCTCGGCGTCCCGGAGCGGTCCCTGCTGACGTGAGGCCTCGGCCTTTGCCGAAAGGCGCCGTTTAAGAGCCCCGTGTGCGTGTCCAGGCGGTGCGTGCGAGTTCTCCTCCGCCCCCTCCCGTGTTGCCGGGATGCTGTGCGGGTGACCGAGCACTGGAACAGATTGCCCAGAGAGGTTGTGCAGTCTCCCTCACTGGAGATGTTCAAGAGCCGTCAATCCTGGGCCACGTGCTCTAGGATGGCCCTGCTTGAGCAGGGAGCTTGGAGCAGATGCCCCACTGCCGTCCCTTCCAGCCCGGCCCGTTCCCTGTGCGCTGCCTACGGTGGGCAGCGCTGTGTGAGGTGTTGGTGCAAAGCGCGAACACAAAGCCTTTGCTGTCAGCGAGGCGTGTGTTGCAGATAAGGATCGAAGAAAAGCAAATGTGGGCTGTTCACGGAAGAGCGATAATGCTGGCGGACGTGGAATATGCAAGAGTCGCAGCGTTTCAGCACCTGAAGTGCCCTTTTTGAAAAGCTTGCATCAAAATGAGTGGACAGAGGAGCGATGGGAACTCTTCTACATGTTCTTTGAGTGTAGGGTGACTGTTCAAAGATGCTTCTCCAAGAGAAAAGCAAAAATCTTAAAATTGGATATTGCCTGATATCTCCAGAGGAACTAAAGAGCTAGCTTTTACTAAGATCTGCAGTGAAGGGAGAAGGCAAGAGAAACAGGTGCATCACTGGAAGTGAAAATAAAACTTCTTGTGTAAGAGAAAGCAGAGCAATTGGAGAAATTCAGAAAGAAGATCAGATGACTGAATGTCATTGCCTAGGACTTGGAAAACTATCTAATGTGGTTACAAATGGGACTGGCTAAAGAAGAAAATCTGGATGGCAGACTTTCTTCTTTATTTTTTTTTTCCATCTTGTAGTGCCATGTGAATCAGTGAGACTTCATTATAGGGATCTACAGGGGTCCTGGAGCTGGTGACACAGGCTTGTGTACTGTTTGTGTACTGTGATGAGGTGGTGGGACAACTATCTGCTCTATTCATGTGTATTGTAATCTTGTGCTAGGTAACAGAAAAGAGGTATCTGTAACATTTAATGTTTCCTGAAGGAAGGATCAGATTTTGCTTGCTTGGACAAGAGACCATGTCTGCATAGAGCTTTTATCATAATGGAGCTACAGTGTGGTAAGGACTCAGGAAAATATTCTTGAGTCTCCTTTTCACCTGTATTGTAGGCTCACAGACCAGTAGTGCAAAGAAGAAAGCTTTCTCTCAGGTGCTTTAAAAAAATCTGTGGTTTACTGACTCTGGGAGTTGCTGGTGGATGTTTTGAATAGATTGAATGTAAAATAATGCTGCTTTCATATATTATCTTAGATAAGGGAAAAAAAAACATTTTTTCCTAGGGTTTTAATTTAATTGTTCTTTCTTCCTTGTTGTCCTTTGGACAGGGACTCTTGCAAGCTAAAACCATATCGTTTTCAATGCTTTACTTATAAAATCAAAGTTGGTTGCTAGAAAGGAAGTTAGTTGTCCTTTGGTTTATAAGACTGTATACAGATTTCTTGAGCTTATTGGATGTCACTCATTTCCTGCCTTCCCTTTCTCCTTGCCCTGTGAGTTTTTTTTAGCCATACTCCAAGACAGCTTCCCATCAAAAATGTTTGATTGTAAGAAGTCTTTCTGTAAGATTAATAACCATTTATTAGGATTCTTCTTTGATGCTTCTTTTGCGTCCTCCTTTCTCGTAATCCCCGCTAGGGTTTTTCATGTGTTGCCACATCAGTTGGTAGTGCAGCTTAAAATAGTAAGGAGAGGCTGTGAGTACTTTGAACAATAGTATAGAATCTGTTGGAAAGTTAGGTACTGGATGTGTAAGCACTGGAAAAGAAAAACTGCATTCTTAACACTTACTGAAAGTAAGTTGCTGTTTTCATATAGTTCTCTTTGCAGTCAAACTCGTAGAGCATAAGCAAACACTGTGATTCTATTAACAAGCACTTCAGGAAGCTCAGCTCTATATTCCTATTGTCAGTGATTTCTGTAACAGACCATGGTGCTTCCTTATTGGTATGAAATTGTACACCTTTGCAGCTGGTCATTTTGTATTTTTTTAATATTTGCAGAGTTTTGCCGTTGCCATGGTGGTCTCTTTTCAAATAAGATAATATTGCCCGTGGAGGAAATCTGAAGCAAAACTAGTTTTGATACTTGTTTTTTGAGGGCAGAAAGGAGCAGGGGGAATGTAGGGTGAAATGATTACTTTGTAAGAGGGTTCTGCTGCACCTGGAAGCACTGTCCAGAACAGCTGTCATTGACAAACCAAACTAATACCTGTCTTATTCCTTTTTGAGGGGTTGTCAGGCCCTGTGGGCTTCCATAGCTAAGAACTGTAGTAGCTGTTGCATGAAATGTCACTACTTAATCTTTTTTGCTATGCTTGTTGAAAAATTGGATTGTATTGTTAGAAAAGGATTGTAATATGCAGTGGAGGGAGGCCTTTATATATTTGCCTGGCATTACTTTGTCTCTTGCTTTGTTTTCCAGTTAGAAATGGTTGTGAGAATATCAGGCACTTTGGCAAATTATTGCTTGTTGAAGGTTCACAGACCTTTAGATAGTATCAAGTAGTTGAGCTGTTGTCATGGCAGTTGTTGGTTCCTGTGACAGCCCTGATCTGAGGATGGTACACCTGGGACAAGTTGAGGTAGAAGAGACTAGAGGTTCCTTCTGTTGTGTGATATGGACTGGTTTGTCTGAGCTTGCTAAGCTGATTGAGCAGCTTGTTACTGCTGAAGAAGGAAATCTCCCTCCTGCAGCCTTCCCTCACTGACCGTGACAACTGTCAATGAATATGGCAATTTAACAACGACAAATCCAGCTGTGAAAGCTAGTTTTCTGCAAAGCTGTCACAGTGGGCCACATCAAGAAGTAACTGGATGAGTGCAGTGCTGGAGATGAGGAGGAGAAGAGTTGCTGTGGAGGAACAGAAGCACCTTCACGCTAGTCTTGAGTTGTCAGGTGGGCTGAGCTGTCTTGTATAACTCTACCTTAGCTGCATTTTGGGACATGGGGGCCTTTGCTGAGGTTCAGCAGGGTTCCTGATCCAGCTGCCATGGTCTGTTGAGAAAAACTAATAAAGCAGCATGGTATTTGCCATAGCAGGTTTTCTTTTCCTCTGTTCAGATTCAGGTCTTGCATTTGAACATGATTCTCAGGGACTTTGAAATTAGTGCAAGGTGAAGTCTTGCTTTCAGATGGAGCACTCAATACAGAAGTGAAACTGGAATGTGTGATTGGAAAGGAGAAGGCTATGTGTAGTTTTGAAGTTTTTTCTAGCTGTAAGCTATTAGCTCTTTGATTAATGTTTGTAGCCTGGGATCTGATTAAAATCTTTTTCTGGGAGGTCAGGTTTTTTGTACCAGTTATTTAAGTAGGCGTGTGAATCTTCTCAGTGTGATTTTTAGGTAACTGTGTTGTGTGAAGATGCAGATTAAATTTGATGCTGAGTAAGAGAGCAAGATGGAAAAAACCCTGTGAAATTCCTTAGTTTATATATGTTGAGGAAGGGATAGGTGGGTAATACTGTCATACATATAGTGAAGTCCTGGAATAGCACTGTGTCTGGGTGCCTGTATCTGCTGGAACTTCTGCTGTCTCCTTATTTTTTGGATATTCTCTAAAGTTCCCCTAGCTTTTTTTTGTTTTTATCACTGCTGCACATTTAATCTTCCTTCATATTCTGTACCTCATGGACTTTGTGATTTTTGTGTGTTACCAAAGAGCCAGGGTTTCTATTCTGCTTCTGTCTTTGTTACTTGGTCAGCTTCTCCCCCATTAAATAACTCCCTACTGCCTGCTCTTACTGTGGGTGAGATTTTGCAGTGACCATGCAGTGGGAAGCACTGAAAGGGTTGTCTTCTGCTCTTCTGAGCTTGTGTAGCTTCCTGCAGGCATCTGGGGCTTGCTCTGTGACGCTTGTGTTTGTATGGGTTTATTGAGCTACGTGGTGCTGAGGCACTGTGGGAATTACTCTCACTCTCTCACTTACACGATGAAAGAGCTTTTCTGCTCTTCCTGGATAATTTAGAAGGTGAAAAGTGGAAGGCAAGTCAGGAATGGTGCTTTGCAAAAGATAGTGCAAGAGTAAAAAGATGGTGGAAGACTCCTGCCTGTTAGATTGTGTCTGTCAGATGCTTGCTCGGCCACTCTGACAATCTCAGCTAATTCTCATCTTTATGAATTCTTCTCTTTTTCTTCTCATGCTCTCTTTTCCTATGCCCAGAAAGTTGTGCTCCTTGGCTTCGGTTAGAAGTTATCACCATGCTCCATGGAAAAGTATGGGAGCATAAAGTACTAATTGTGTGGTGGGAGGAGGGGGTTTCTGATTTTTTTCAGCTTTTGACAGTAAAGAAAAGCCTTTCTGTTTTCTCAAGAGAAAATTGGGAAGATGAAATATTAGGAATTACTGTCAGGTAATGCCAAATGCAAGGGTTTGCTGAAAGTATTAAAACTGATGTTAACTTCTGTGCAATTTTATTTCAGCAAACACTTGACATCATCTCTTTCTCTTTAGTATTGTGGAGGCATTTTCCAAAGATTCATGTTCTTGGGGGAATAAATAACAAAAAGAATGTATGCAGATCTGTTAATTTCATTAAGCTATTGATTTAGACCTTAGTGGATTAACTAAAAGATGGGGAATGAGTAATGGAAACAGCGAAGGGATGAATAGCTCTCAATGCCTTAATTCTTGAAAAATGTAAATTAGTAAGGAAAATATTTAAGATTTAGAGCAAGAAATGTTCTTGATAGTTTTTAATTCTCTTGCAGGACCTGATAAAAATCCAGCAATATAATAACTGTCAGATTTCAAAAGTTGGCCTCTGTCTGTTTTGATTCACTAGTTCAAACAGACACTGAAATAGTCTTAAAATTAACTAAAAAAGTGCTAGTCTTTATGTTGGAAGGAAATGGAGTCTAACAATGCCAGTTTCCGAGAACTGAGATCAAATGTTCTTATGATTTGCTGTAGAGAAAATAAATGAAAAGCCCTCCAGTGTAAAGTGGTGTGCTACATGATTATTACCATTTTTCTTTGTATTACTTGCATCTTTCAATGATATGGGGAGATTTGAGTCACTGAGGAATGTGTAGTTTCATTTTTTATTTGCATGTTTCAATTAAGTTCAAAGGAAAGCAGAGAAGTTCCTTTATGTGTCTGAATATATAGAGGAAATGCGGGGAGGGAAGTGTGGGTGTATTTTCCACTCCAGAAGGTACTCCTAATTACTCCAGAACTATTTTTAGAAGCCTAAATTACATCAGTTGCAAAGCCAATTTGATTATTGGAGTCCCACTACATCCTTAGCATTTGCAGCAAAAATTACCATATGATGTTTGCTTACTGAAAATGCTACTTGGCTACAGAGGTACCTTCATCTGGCATATTTCATGCATCTCAGTAGTGTAAAATCTTTTTTTGTGTGTATTCATGAGTGATGCACATTTATAATTGGGGACTATCTAGTTTGGCACTGTTCTTTTCTCTGCATTGTGTATGGATTAAAGGTTTTCTCTGGTGATTCAGCATTTTGTTAAATGTTTGTCTATCTCTATAATAGGTACACTGGGAAATGTCATATTTTTGGTCATTATTATATGTAGTAAAGTGTAATTATTAATCATAATTTTTCTGTTGGAGTCTGTACTCCTTGACTA